AGAAAAAATTTCTTATTTCCATCTCAATATTTAATATATTGCTTTGCACAGAGTATGCTTAATTTATGTTTAATTGAATTTATTATCAGTGTATCTCCCTACCTTGTCTTTACATTTTTGGAGTCACACCTTTCCCTCCCAAATTCCTTTGTAATTCAATTAATTAAAATCTTTTTTCTTGGTCAGACATTTTTCTCACTGTTTCTACACACTAGATAATTTAGGTACACATCTTTATTATCTTGGGAATGTTATTTCAATTATTTGCTTGTCTGATGGGGAAGGCCCAGCCTATAGAAACAAAAAGACATTGACCAAGAAAATACACAATTGAAATGTCAATATTGAATCCTTAGCAGTTTTTCTGCTTCTTCCAAGACAAAAGAAGACAAAAAATTAGATAAAACACATAAGGGAAAGATTTGCCAATCATATATATGAAAATAGTCATATCTAGAATATATAAAGAACTCTTACAGCTCAACAATAAAAAGATAAATAACCAAATTAAAAATAGGTGAACGATTTCAATAGACAGTTCTCCAGAGAAGATATACAAATAGCCACCAACAAGCACACAAAAGGATGTTGGACATGATGAGTCCTGAGGGAAATGCAAATCAAAACCACCATGAGATATCACTTCACACCCACTAGGACAGCTACAATAAAAAAAAAAAAAAGACAATAACAGGTGCTGGTGAGGATGTAGAGAAATCAGAACCTTCATACATTGCTAATGGGAACGCAAAATGGTGTGGCACTCAAGAAAACAGTTGGGTGGTTCCTCAAAAAGTTAAAGACAGAGTCACCATATGACCCAGCATTTCAACTCCCAGGTATATACCAAAGACAAATGAAAACAAACGTGTGCAGAAAAACTTGTACACGAATGCTCATAGCAGCATTATGCATGATAGCCAAAGCATGGAAACAAATGTTCATTAACTGACGATGAATGGGTAAATAAAAATGGACAACTAACATGTGGCACATTCATACATTGGAATACTATTTGGCCATAAAAGGGAATGAATTATTGATACCTGCTACAACATGATGAACCTTGAAAACATGCTAAGTGAAAGAAGTCAGTCACAGAAAGCCCCATATTATATAATTCCATTTATATGAAATATGCATAATAGGCAAGTCCACAAGGACAGAAAGTCTCTATTAATGATCGCCAGGGGCTGAGGCCCTGCAGTAAATCCCTTTCATTTATCTTAATAGCTCTAGAAAGCTTTTTGAAGGATGTATATTTATGGGTGTAAATCCTCATCATTTATTCATATAATTTCTGCTTAAGATGGAGTCTCGTCTAACAGGTGAGTAAAGCATTTGTAAACTGGATGGGGAGAGGTCATCAGACGATGGAGGAAGAGGGGAGTGTAATGGCAGAAGAACTGGACTCATCGGTGGATTCAGCAAATGGACAGGAACCATGCGGGTGAAACTTCATGGGGCTGAAATGAAATTAGGACGAGAGAGGTGGCTACAGGTTGCTATAGGATAAGACCTCAGAAACGAGTAGAAGACGGAAGAGAATACTTGAACACCTGTTCATCAAGCTTTCTCTTTGCAGAGTTCCCTGACTCCTCCTAGACAGCTCTTTTAAAAACTGCTCAGGTTCATGTTAGCTCCAGGAATACAGGAATGTGTGGGCAAAGGAGAAGAGGTAACACGAATCTGAAGGAAGAGCAATTTATTTAGAAGATTTATATGTTGCCTTCAAGGGGAGTGAACAAGATTCAGTGAGGAGACATTGGATTTAGCTTCTGTACCCGATTAGGACTGGACCCTGTACTTTGAAATACACGTCACGTCTCAGGTGGACACAGACTCCAGAGACGCCTTGGCTATTAGCAAACAAGCTGCTGTGCGTTTACTTGATCGAGCTCATCCAGAAAGCGGCTGAATGCCTTCCAGACACAGTTCTAGGGGAACGAATCCCAGAGCCTGCGTTTTGCAATTAGGCTGGGCTGAAGTTTGCATCTATCATTCAACATTTTCTTCCTACAGTAGCCGTTAAAAGGATGCAGGCTGGGGGAGGGGTGGCTACAGGGCATTTACATTTCCAGAATCTCTTTTTACTTTTCACACAGAAGAAACGATTAAACTCAGTACGTACTAATTTAGTTGTCTGTGCTCACTAAGGGTCTATCCTCAACCTACGATTTACAGGCAAACCGACCCACTCACCAACACTCTCCCCTCTTGCTGCTAATGTGCCCATAGGATGCAGGGGCGGCTAACAGGACAGGGTAGGAATTACATCTACGTCCGAGCAAATTGTCCCAATCGCTCTAGGTGAGCGGTGTCTTTTGCGTGTGTTCTTCAGTGTTGAACTGCCTCACAGTGCGCACCATCCAAGCGTGTGATGCTGAGGGACTGTCGTTTCTGACAGACTTCCATTCTAGTCTCATGCACCCACTGGACTTCAGTCCATTCATGGTTGGGCGCCTCTCCCTGGGAAACTATAATAGATTCCTTTGCAAACTATAATCTTCGCATCTGCTCCGATGCTAAACTACTGTTCATTGCTGGGCAGGGATGCCTCCACCTGAGGGAATAAAAGGGGTTGTGATCCATGACAACAGCCGTGACAATCTTTCCCTTAAAGCCTTTTGAGGAAGAGGAAAAAGTGCTGCCGGATCCCCCTTTCTTGATAGTCAAATCAGTCTACCTAGGACCCTAGCATTCATCCAATGTTGCAATTGAAAGTTCTACATTTCAGGAAAAGCATCTGATAAACCTTTTTGGTTTCATTTATATCCTGATCTTCAAAATGAAAATTGATCCAATATGACCAAGCAGCATATCATTCAACCAAAAAAGTCCTCCCTGGTCCCAGTGGCTCGCTGCCTGACTAACTGAGAAGATGCGAACCTGAACCCACGGTGTTCGAGTCTGCATGCGGCATAAGGGAGGACACTGAAATAAAAGATACATTTCTTGGGTGACCTTCCTTTGTCAGTCAATATTTATTGAATTTCATACAACTGGGTCTCCAGTCTGAGCATAAATTCACTTAATCACGGGGCATCTGTCCATGCTTACACGTGTGGAGGGAGAGGGAAAGGAAGAGAAGAGAGAGCTACTGACTGCCAGTGAATCTTTTATGCTGGAAGCTTATTCTCCATTTGCTGGGAAATAGATTCCCAGCTCTAATTCAGCTCATTAATTAAATGAGGACACCACAGTACCCAGGAGTAAATGGAATTATTGAATAAAACAGACTTTAAATAAACTAACAACTATTAGGCAAGACACGTTTGAAGGTTCTGGTTTGGATGGAAGTGATGTCTGACAAGTGGGAAAGCCATCTCCCTTTCTATGTTTTTCAGACTGTCAATTTTTTAAAAATTTAAAAATATTCGTCAAATAAAGATTAAAGATACTCAAGGTGTACAACATGATGATTTGATACACATATACATTATGTAATGATTACCACAATCAAATTAATTATTTGATTAATTAACAGAGGGCTGGTTCAGCCTGCCCTTACAGTACTCTCAGACTTACATCCCTTCCACCCTTTGGCCTGGGTTGTTCTCAGCCTGTTTGCTGGACAGCTTCCTGCTCCCGGGCTGCATCCTTAGTGGAGATGGAGCTTACAGCTGTGCCAGTACAGGGTCTGCAGGAAGCAGGGCTCACCCTGATGAATCCAGAAGGAGCTCCTCAAAGACCCCCCTCTTGGGGATACCCAGTGGGGCTACAGGAAATGGTGTGGAGGCACCCTTTCCTTCCCCCAGAGGTCAGGGGCCACACTGCTTCCTCCCCGTCAGAACTTCCTTTATGGTTTAGCTTCTGAGGCCCTCTAGGCCCACAGGAGCTCTGGGATGCATCGTGCCGCAAGGCCCATTTCTGGTTTTGTCTTCCTACTTAGGATGAAACAGGGAAGATCCTGGGAATGTACTTCCAGTAACAGCAAGCTCGATTGACCGAGGACAGAGAGAATATTCCACGAAAGCGATGTTTCTTTTCCTGGTTTCTTGCCATAACCCAATGGGGAACAGGGTCAATTGAAGTGTCCCCAGCTTGAGTCTCTCATGGCTAATTTAAAACAACTGGATGACAGCGGCTTATCCAGGCTGCACTTTACACCGTATCGTTGCTTTGATTAGCCTCCACAAGAACTAATACATTGTTCGGTTATTATGTTCTTCATGTTGTGCATAAAGAATAATAGAATTTCAGAGGAGAATGAAGGCTCTTGATTTCCTAAAGCATCACTATATTTACAGGTGAAGCAATTGAGACCCCAGAGGTTAAAGGACCCACCCCAGGCCACCCTGTGCATTTGCCGCTCCTTAGGGTGGGTGGGAGTGTCTCTCACATGCAGCCCCCACACCAGCTTGGTGCAGACATCTTCCTGGCAGATGTGATTTCAAGCCTTGCATTTTGAATTCAGGCAAAAATGTCTGGATCAGTGTTCCACTTGTGCCTAAATGTCATTAGAAGGCTTTTCTTTTAGAGAGTTTTTGAAAAAGTGCATTAAAGGACACTGGCTCTTTACTGCACATATATCTTGGTGGGGGGGGGCAGAAATAAATTGGAAAAACAATACATAGACTCTGCACTGCATGTGCTGGGGAAACAAACTCCTGGCCTTTCCTTCGCCAACCCTCACTCCCACCCTCACCTCTGCCCTTTTCCATAGCAACAAAAGCTGCCATTTGCCCAGCCCGGTATTGTACAAGGCGCTTTGCATCTATTTCCAACACTCGCAATAAGTGTATGAAGTAGAAATCATTATACCCATTTTACAAATGAGGAAACCAAGGCTCACAAAGGTTGTGTAACTTGCTTCAAATCACATTGCTTGGTGAGTGGTGGAATTCCAATTCACCTGATTTCAAGGGTAAAGACGTTAATTTGCATCTCAGGGTTCTGATCAAGCCATGTGACCCAGAGAGGAACCTGCCCCCCTCCCTCCCAACTCTCTGTCAAAAACTTCCCAGGACCTGTGCAGGTGAGGCCAAACCCTTGCCTACCTGCAGAACTCTCCTTCTGATTCTGGCAGTGTCAGAGAGGCCATGGGGTTCTTCATCAGATCGGCCACCACAGGGTCTTTGGCTGTCATGTAGAAGAAAGGAATCCCAGTGCTGTTATTGAAGGGGCCGTCACTGATGGGCAGGCAGTTCCCAAAGGGCAGTCCTTGGATCTAGCAAACACCAAAAAAGGCCTTTTCAATGCAGAGTTGTGGATTGACTTGAGTTGGGAGCTTAGCTTGTGTCTCTGGCCAGGAAATACAGCACTAGGGATATGAAAGGACTGTGGCATCATAGTAAATGATGGCGGTAAATTAAGGCAAGGTGGTCCCCAATCTACTCAATTCACCCAGTGATGGTGTCCAGAATTTATAGGAGATGCTTAGAGGTGGCATTCTGTTTGGAAAGGATAGTTAAAGGATTGATTATCTTGACTATCTAGAAGCTGCTTGTGCATACCAAATACACTCACTTTATTGAATTTAATGTTATTTTCGGAGAGGCAATGAAATTTATAGGGGTGGGGGTGGTGCTAAACCTTTCCCACAAGCTGTCCCTAGAGCCCCACTGCCTTCACTGCCTCCCCCAAATTTTTGGCAACTTTAGGGAGAGAATTTAAGTTTTAACTTTAACATCTTGCCTGGTCTTTGGACTCCAGCAACTTTCTATTATTGTTTCTTTTAGGGCTATACCACGTTCACATTTATTAGTTGCATTGTTTATTGTAATCCTATCATTTCATTATATAACTCAACAAGTTATGGGAAGTTGAATTGTTACCCTTTTCGCATAAAGGAAGTCAAAGAAACATAATGTAACAATTTTTGTTCATGATCATCCAGCAGGGTGGGTGAGGGTGGTAGAGCCTATTTCTGTGACTTCACATAAAGTCAACAATATTTAAGTCTTACGCTTTCCCGAACCCTGCCGGTAAGGCATCCCAGTCTCCCATGAGCTTTATCCCTTACAAGGTGCACCTCATTGTTACTTAGTTCCCAATTTAGGGGCTGTCTTTGTCTTTGAAATGTTTGACAATGGTATGCAGAATTGCAAAAGGCAGGGCTTTAGTCTTTTAAGAAATTGAAAAGTAAAGGAGTCTTCCGAAATAGTGAAGATAATATGGTATTCCATTTACAGATTCCATTTTTCAGCTTGTCATAAACTGCCCAGAGGCATGCTTTGCTTACAAATGGCAGCCACAGGGTGTTTTCTGAATTTATTGAGTTTAGATTAAATGTCAGTGTGTATTAGCAAGGGGAACTCCTAACAAAGCTAAGGGAAGGGATGTTGAAAGCCAAAATATCTTTAATACATTGGCACTAGACTTTTAACTGCTTGAAAAAATCTGTGTTTTAAACCAAGATCAGCTTCATATTTAAACTTTATGTCTTCTTAAGATAAGTCTTAGGAGTGCAAGATACAGGTGAGAAACCATTTGGATGCTGTGAATATCCAACTGGATCTGAATCTGACACTAAAGAGGTTAAGATCTTTGCCAAAATTGAAGTACAGTTGCCATTTACATAATTTTTAAGCAAAAACAAAACAAAACTCTTTCAAAACTGCCTAGTCAACCACCTAATTTTATAGATGAGGAAAGCAAAGTAGAGAAGCCAGTAACTTGGCCACAGTCTCCAGCTGGTGAGACCCAGAGCTGGGGCAAGAACCAGCCCCCTGGTCAATATCCTATGACTTCTGTAAAATATTAATTCTTTTTGCAGGAAGTAAATAGGAGTTTAAATTACTGCCCTATAATAAAAGGCTTACATTTATCTTACAGCCCTAAAAGCTTTCTGGAGGTGCATACTTATGGAAGCTACCTCCTCACTGCTCATCCATGTCATTCCAGGTGGACTCATGTCTAACAGGTGAGTAAAAGCATTTGTGAACGCAACCGTAAAAAGTGCAGCGGATAGCTCATTCCCACATTTACATGCTTTCCAGGAAAAATCCTTTTTCCTTCCTGGAAAAAATCTTAAGTTCCATTTTCTTAAGTGGAGATTTCCAGCAAAGCCCTGGTACTGCGTTTCTCCGCATCCCCGCTCCGGTGCTGTGTCAGCGGGTGATGGGCTCTGTTGCTCTGTGCAGGGAGCGGGGGTGCTGTGCACGCCTACTCTGCGATCCCAAAGGCGGCTCCCGCTGCTTTGTCCAGGTCTCCAGTCAAGCGCTGGTTATTTGTACTTCTCTTTGGCAATCTCGAGACAGGCATTCGGTTCCCAAGCTTACGTGGCAGGAAGCCTGGTTTTCAATGTCCCTCTCCCGCCCCCACCCCGCCCCCGACTCTGCCAGGCTCAGCGAAGCATAATCTAGTCCCACTATTTACAGTGTGGACGGGCCAATCCAGACCACTGCGTTCATCTGTGAGACCTGGATCCCAGTACACGAGCGGTCGCGAGCATCTCCTGTCCCCGGTTGCGCCGCCTGATGGCCAGGCCCCCGTGAGGCACACACCTGCAGCCCGCTCCGGGCCCGGGGCTTACCTTCTCGTGGGCGGACACGGTGGCCAGACAGCCCCAGGCGCTCGCGTGGGCCAGGGAGCGGGCGATGCCGGCGCGCAGCCTCGGGCCGGGAGACGTGCCGGCCACCTGGCGGCTCTCGCGCCGGTAGGAGAACATGCCGGGCGGCGCGTGCGGCTGCTTGGCGCGGGGGGCGCCCGCCCGGGGCCGCAGGTGCGCGTGCTCCTTGTGAGCCGAGGCCGGGAAGCTCTGCTGCCAGATGCTGCCCGAGTCCTCCAGCAGCGCGGGCAGCGCCTCCTCGGTGGAGGCGCTGTCCAGCTCCTCGTCCACCTCGTTGGTGACAGCCCAGGACACGGAGCTCACGATCACATACCCGGCGGCCGGGGACAGCAGGGCGCTGCAGCACAGCAGCCAAGAGAGGCGGGTCCCCGGCCGCGCCGGCCGCTGGCCGTGGCGCACGGACATCTTGCAGGCGGCGCGCCCTGCCGCGGGGACCGCCAGCAGCGCGCCAGCGCCGGGCAAGGGCGGCAGCGCCCCCCTGCGGCGGAGGCGCGGAGTCGGAGCCCCTTCCCGACCCCCGTGGGACTCCTGGGTGGGGTCCTGGGCGCCAGTTCCGGGGATGCCCTTACAGCCGCGCTGCCAAGTGGGGAAGTAGAGGCTCCTGGAAGACCGGATTGCACGCAAACGCTGCACGTACTGCAGCCCCGGTGTGCAGAGTCCTTGTCGTGTGCCAGGTCTGACGATGGGTTCATTTCCTGCAGGATGGCACAGGTTCTGCAGCCAGAGGGTGGGCGTTCAAATCCCGCTCCAAACACTGATCTGCTCAACACCTGTGTGAGACCCTGCAACGCCATTTAACCACTCTGTGCCCGTTTTCTTCATTAGAAAACGGAGATAATATTTGTCTCATAGGGGGGATAGATGGGAGGGTTAAATGATTAATATTTGCAGAGGCTTAGAACAGTGTGTGGCACGGAGCAAACGCTTATACAATCGTCCCTCGGTATTCCGGGAGGTTGGTTCCAGGACCCCTGCTAATAGCAAAATCGACGGGTGTTCAAGTCACTGTTATAAAATGGTGTTGCGTTTGCATATAACCTATGCACATCCTCCTGTATACTTTCAATCATCTCTAGGTTACTTATAATACCTCATAAAATGTAAATGCTATGTAAATTGTTGTTACACGTATTGTTCAGGGAATAATGACAGGAAAAACCGTACATGTTCAGTACAGACGCAACCATCTTTTTTTTTCTTTAAATATTTTCAATTTCCAGTTAGGAACCCACAGACATGGAAAGCTAACTATGTTTTGTTAACTAGACAAAAGGTAGGGGTGTTATCACCATCTTTTTAGAGGAGAGGACTGAGTAAACAGTGGAGGTAAGGTTAGAGCCAGTTCCTTCTGATGCTGAAGCCCATTCCCTTTTTCTGTAAGGACAATAACCATCTCACACTTTGCTGTGTCGGGGGGCACTGCCCCTAGTTCATCTAGTAGCAGAATTGAGTTATTGACATTTAAGTTGAAATAAAGGGAGCCAGTACCCAGAGTAGAGGTGAAGGGGCAGAGTGGAAAGAGAATTGTGTGAATGTACCAAAATTTTAAAACATTCTTTTATTGACTGAAATTTGGATTGTTTCCAGTGATGAAGTTTTGCAGGTATCAAAATAATTCTGAGTTAATTATACTTTCTTACCTCTGCTTGTGGAATCCATAATCTCCCCCACTAGGAAACATTTTCTACTCTAGATTTTCTACCTAAAATCTAATGGTCCTCTTTCAAATTTATTCTCGATGAAAATAACTTAAAATAGCACCTTACTTTTATTTTGAAAGTATTTTGGCAAAAATTACATTCCATGGTAACTAGAGTGTCTGCCCCACTTCCCCTGGATCCACTTGCCCCTCTCCTCTTCCATTCAAAGCCAGTTTTCAATGTTTCCTTCATCATCTTCTCAATGCCCTCCAAGCTGGGTTTCCAACCTAACTTCACTGCCCTTTCCAGGATGACCTCTTTCTAGTCTTTCCTTCCACCCAGCTGACCTCTCTTTCTTCCTTTGAGTCTGGTCTTTTCTTTCCTTTTTTGGGGGTGGACAGGGTCTTACTGTGTTGCCCTGGTTAGAATGCAGTGGTGTCATCATAGCTTACTGCAACCTTAAAGGCCTGAGCTCAAGCCATCCTCTTGCCTTGTCCTTTCAAGTAGCTGGGACTACAGGCCTGTGCAACCACACCCAGCTAATTTCTTTTTTTGTTTTTTGTAGAGACGGAGCCTCGTTATGTTGCCCACGTGTGTCTTGAACTCCTGGCCTCAAGTGAGCCTCCCACCTTGGCCTCCCGAAGTGCTCCTTTGGGTCTTTTTTTTACCTCTCTGGCTGCACTTTCTCAGTTTTCTTTGCCAACCCCCGCCCCATTCTCTGTGTGCTCCTAAACATTGTTATTCTAAGGGTAGTTCTGTCTCTGGCCTTGTCTTCTTGTCCTGCACACTCTTCCTGAGTGATCTCATCTACTCCCATGGCTTCTGCCATAGTTTTATGTTGCTGGCTTGCCAACCTAAATCTCTGATTTTGTGCTCTCATTCTCTCCCCCTACTGCCCTGGCCCCAGGATGATGTGGCCTGTAGTCTTGGAAAGGCAGTATAGTAAGTCATTCAAAACATGGGCTCTGGATTCAAATAAGTCCAAATCCTGCTCTATCACCTACTAGCTATCATTTGACTCCTCTGAGTCCCTTGTCTGCAAAATGGGCATAGGCATGTCTCCCTCACTGGGTTGTGATTACAGAATGGGATATCACATAGGATGTACTTGGAGACGGGGGAGTGCAGATCATCCATGCTTTCTGTTTTCACAGAGGAGATGGCATGTCCATTCTAATCCCTGGAAGGGAAAGTTTGGAGGAATACTGCAGGCTTTTGGCTGTTTTCTTACTCCTGCCTCCCTATGGGAGAAGGAGTTACTCATCTCATGGATAAGTTTAGGAAGAGGAACTTAACATACTGTTCTAGCTCCTGCAAAGCTATTCTTTTCTGAATGGTCTGTCCACCCTTCTTTTCTGCCCTGCCTGATCTGACGTGCCCCTTGAGGAGGTATGTCGTTGCCGTGCCCTGCTAAGGGATAGGTTCAGTTGCACAACCTAATCTAGTCCTATTTGGTCAAAATTCCCAATTAGCTTTATCTCCATGAAACTTTTTGATGCTTGTCTTTTACTTCCCAATTAGATCCAAACTCAAAGGGAATTTAAGAGGGTGATCAATAATTACCCTTCAAACCCTATCACATAACATGTGCCAGGACATAGTAAATGCTCAATGAATGATAGACATTATTATTCGCTTTTTGGCCATTTACCACTGCATATCTAACAGCCCCTCACACCCAACTTTTGGGAAATAATTCTCCTTGGATTTCTGCATTCCTGCGGAGTCCAGACTTGTTTGAATAGCCCTGTAAAGCTGGAGATAGTGTATCTTTCTGGAGAGATTTAGAGATATATTTTGCAGAGACATCCCAGGCACTAAAGAGATGGGTATGAGTTTGTTTAATTTTATCATACAATGTCAAATTTGATTTCCAAAATGATGATGCCAATTTATACAGCTACTATCAGAGCATGAGAGTGACTGCTGCTGCTCCACATTCTCAGCAACAGGGATTGCTGTTAGGTTTTTTTGTCTTCCCCACACCCCCAAATCTGGTGGATAAGCAGTGGTCTCTCATTATTATTTTAATTTGCATTTACTTGATGACTAGCGTGGCTGTTCACTTTTCATATATTTATTGGTCAGTTTGATATCTTCTTTTGCCAGTTAATGCCTTTTGCCTGTATTTTTTTATAGTGGTAAAAAACACAACATGGGATCTATCCTCTTAACAAATGTTTAATGTACAGTACAGTATTATTAACTATATTCACACTGTTGTACAGCAGATCTCTGGAACTTTTTAACCTTGCATAATGGAAACTCTTCATCCACTGAACAGCAATTCCCCATTTCTCCTCCTCTCAGCCCCTGCAGCCACCATTCCACTTTCTGTTTCTGAGTTTGAATGCTTTAGATACCTTGTGTAAGTGGAATCATTTAGTATGTGTCCTTCTGTGACTGGCTTATTTCACTGAGCATGATGTCCTCAAGGTTCATCCATGTTGTAGCATATAACAAGAATTTCTTCTTTTTTAAGGCTGAATACTATCCCATTGCACATATATACCACATTTTCTTTATCCGTTCATCCATGGATGGATCTTTATTTCCACCTTGTGGCTATTGTGAATAATGCTACAATGAACATAAGAGTGCAAATATCTCTTTGAGATCCTGTTTTAAATTTTCTTTTGGATTAAATACCCATAAGCGGGATTGCCGAATCATATGAAAATTCTATTTTTAGTTTTTCAAGAAAGCTCCATACTTTTTCTTATAATGGCTGCACTATTTTCCATTCCTATCAACAGTATGCTGGGATTCTAATTTCTCCACATTCTTGTCAACACTTGTTATTATTTTTATTTTTCATAGTGGCCATTCTAATAGGTGTGAGGCGATATGTCATTACAGTTTAAATTTGCATTTTCCTGATAATTAGTGATATTGAGCATCTTTTCATATACTTGTCAGCCATCTGTATGTCTGCTTTGGAGAAATGTCTGTTCAAGTCATTTGCCCGTTTTTTAAAACTGGGTTGCTTGTTTTTTTGCTATTGAGTTGTAGGGGTTCCTTATATATTTCGGAAATTAGCCCCTTATTAGATATATGGTTTGCAAATATTTTCTCCCATTCTACATGTTGCCTTTCTATTCTGTTGACTGTTTTATTTGCTGCGCAAAAGCTTTTTAGTTTGATATAGTCCCATGTGTCTATTTTTGCTTTTGGTGCCTGTGTGTTTGGTGTCATATCCAAGAAATTATTGCTAGCATCAATGTCATGAAGTTTTTCCCCTATGATTTCTTCTAGGAGTTTTACAGTTTCAGATTTTACATTGAAGTTTTTAATCCATTTTGAGTTGATTTTTATGTATGGTGTAAGATAAGGGTCCAAATTTATTCTTTTACATGTGGAACATACAGTTTTCTCAACACCAATTGTTGAAAAGACTATCCTGTCCCCATTGTATAATCTTGGCACCCTTGCAGCACCCTTGTCACAGATCAGTTGACCATATATGCCTGGGTTTATTTCTGGGCTCCCTATTCTGTTCCATTGATCTGTATACCAGTACCACACTGTTTCGATTACAGTAGCTTTGTAATATGTTTTGAAATCAGGAAGTGTGAGGCTTCCAGCTTTGTTCTTCTTTCTGAAGATTGTTTTGGCTATTTGGAATCCTTTGTGGTCTTATATGAGTTTTAGGATTATTTTTTCTATTTCTGTAACATATGCCATTGGGATTTTTATAGGGATTGCATTGAATTTGTAGATTGCTTTGGGTAGTATGGCGATTTTAACAATAATAAGTCTTCTGATCCATCAACCTGGGATGTTTTTCCACTTAGTTGTATCCTTTTTAATTT